GGGGACAACAGGAGTGCCATGTTTTCTGTGCTGCAGTCACCAGCAACACCGGGGGCCACACGCTGTATAGCTGCCACATGCCTACATGATGCAAATGTGGAAGGGCCTCAAGGGAAAATCCCATTGGCTCTTCATTCTGTTTTCTCTATGAACATTTTGAAGGCCCCATGGACTCTTCTGGACCAATACAGAAAAGACCATAAACAACAGGTGGCAGGTCAGTGGTCACAAAGAAAGCAGAGGCCGAGACTGATGGCACAGAGGCACAGGGGAACTTTGTCGGGGGACAGAAATGTTCCACACAGGGACTGGGGTGCTGGGTAGATGCAACTCTTCCCGGGGAGCTGCAAGCCATTGAGTCGGACGGTATGGGGGTGTGGTAAAGGAGCCATGAAAGGAGGACCATGTCGGCTGTCCTAGCTTGTTCTTGTAAACTGCTTCCTTTTCTCCCTGGCAGCTTGCACTCGAGCGCGGGATGTCCTTCAACTGCAGACAGTAAGGAATTTGGGGAACAGCTGCATACAGTGTATGCAGTAAACAAGAGCAGTATGGGCTGAGATACGGAACTCTGTCAAGGCGATGTAAAACTCTAGCGTGGGAACAGGGAGCGTATCTAGGAATACTGCCAGTATTGATGCTTTAAAAATAAAAGGCTGTGGTCCTTTGAGGCTGCAGTCTTGTCCCGTCTCTCTGTGTGTGTCTGTTTTATTCCGTCTCTGTGTGTCTGTGCTGCGGTCTTGTATTGCCTCTGTGTATGTGTGTCTGTTTTGTTCTATGTTCATTTTCCCTGCTCAAGAAACCGCAACAGGGTGGGGTGGGGATTTTTATGGTTTGCAAATTACACCTGCTTTCCGATTTGTTTTGCAAAACACAACAGAAACAAATTCTCAGCTCAACCACTGCAACCCGGAAGCTCTTGCAGCAGTCTTACCTGAGATCCTTTTAATGCTTGCTTTCCCCACCAGATGGGGTTGGTATCAACTACGATGACGAGAAGGTTCACTTCATCTTCTGGAAACATGAAGAGCAGCAAAAACAGAGCTCAGTCTCATGACAGTGAACCCTGGCTAACATCCCCAATTAGTACACAGTACCAACTCATGCCTTTAAATGTTCACCAGCCTATACTTTGGAGATGAATACAAGACCGAGTTCTTTTCAAGGAAGCCTGGCGGCACCGTGGTTCCCCATTGGGCTGCTAACTTC